CAAATCCACGGTATACCAATTAACAAATTAAAGGAGACATAAATTGTTGTAACTTGAATATAAATACATAGTTGAAGACAGAGGTAAAGACAATATGATTGTTATCGAAAGTAGGGAAATAAGAAAGTTTCTCTTGCTACCTATAGGGAACAACATAAGGAGCAACCACAATGCAACGGACCCGAAAAAGCTCAGCAAAACTCCAACCTTCCTGGAACTCAAGTTATACGGTGAAAAAAACAAAGCGTTGCGACTGTACTATAATTGACAATGACTATACTTCCTGTACATATAATTGAAAGCAATTCACCCCCTCATTCCTTCTCTCCACATCCTCCTCCCCCAAACTTTCTACCCTTCTAAGGAGATAAACTCGTCAAGCTCATCATCTTGATGAAAGGAAATTTCCTCTCTAAAAACAAAAATTAAAAGGGATATAGAACAATTAAATGCCAGAGAATTTACCAGAGCGAAGAAATTAATAGCAATAACATCGCCTTCCACTGAGCTATCTCCAAAGATATCCTCAATAATTGAAGTACACTCATACCTATGTTTCTGGATAATTTCCCTTTTGTGGGCAGAAAAAGATAACTCCATCTTACCTGATCAACATGCAGTACTTGACTGATGATATATTGGGATAAGAACAAATATAACGAAGCTGTATAAAGTGACATACCATAATGTTCAAGAGGGGAAACAACAGGTGGCGATGTAACTGGTATATACGTAACTTTATTTGCTCTCAAGTGCACCATCAAGTTCTGTCAGGAACAAAAGGAAATAAAAGAAAGAAAAAAAAACTCTGAAGCATTCAGTGTCAACTTTCTGAAATGTCACATATTTATGTTCAAAGAGAAAAGAATTTGGCTGCCTTATCCAGCCTAAAGGCTAAATTATCTGGGTTTCTTTCCAGGGCTTGCTGAAATCAAACTAGATCACATTATATAAACACAAACAACACAATAACATGTCAAAAAACAATCTCCTCTTAAAATTGCGACAACAAGCAACAAATAAGAATTGTTCTGCTTTTGCTAACCTCATGAGATGAATGAGTGATAAAAACCACTTGATATTGCTCTTGATCACAAGCAAACGCTGCAGCAATGGCCTATTCAGCAAAAGAAAACCTCTATATAGGTTATTAATGATTCATACAAACATTTCCATTGTATATTGTGAAGGGAATATACAAGGCCTGTCATGAAATTCAGCACAAGAAAGATAACCCAAAACTTTGAGCCTACAGAAACCAGTACAACACAAAATCCAGAAATAGAAACTATTTCAATATTGATACACATATAAATGTAAAGGGGCGAAAAATTATTCGAATATTGAATGTTTAGATAAATTTTCAATTAGTTGCAATAACAATTGAATGTCAATGCGATGCATTACATTTACACACAAAAAAAAAAAAAACGAAGAGGAGGAAGAGGGTTACGGCAAGAGGGTAGATATCGCCTTTAGTTCCGAAAGCCATGAAAACAGCGGCTGGTTTGCTCCTCATCTTCCTCGATTGCTCCTTCCTTCACTTTACGACTTCTGGTTCTTAACAATTTTCACCTATTTTTGTCATTTTTTCTGAAATTCAAGGATACATCAGAATTTTATTTTATTTTATTTTTTCAGAATGTGCATTTTTTGCTGCAAAATTCTAAAATGGTTACTCCTCCATTAATGAAATTAAAATAATATTAATTATTTTTTCCATTTGGTTAAATATTTAAAATCATCATATTGATGAGAAAAAAGTTTATTGTGTTTCATCAATAAATTTTAAAAGCATTTTAAAGTAATAATTAGTGTTTGAGTATTTTTCAAGAAATCTACTATAACGATCAATAACTACAGTTAATCGATATTGTTTGCCACCATTACTACTAGCCCACTCATTATCACCACACTCCCAACATAATCCCAATCGATACCTACAACCATCATTGCTAGCAATCATCACCTTTAATTGTCATATAATTTTTAAAAGTATCTTAATATAGTATAAATATATAATTTAATAGTTCATTTAAATTTTATATTTATTAATTCTAAAGAAATGTAATTTCATATATTCACATGTTGAAATAACAAGTCTTAATTGTTTAGTATAAAATTTTTAGTATAATATCTTAATATTCAAGTATGTATTCAGTTTAAAATGTCTCAATCTTTAACGAAAACAATTAGAAATTAAGGAGGTGAAAGGAATATAAATATTAAATTGAGATTAAATAATAAATAAGAGTAGTTTAATCAAATCATCCTTGTAATTAATATTTTTTAAAAAGAAATGCAAAAGAAAAATGTGACAACCAAAATAAACCTAAGGGTAGCACTAGATATTAGAAATATTTCTTGATATTGATCGACACATAAAAATGATTCTTCCAAATTCCTTTTATTTAATATTAATTCCTTTTATTCTGTCCTAAAAAAGAAATCAACCCCTCATATACTTGGAAACTATTTAATTTAGCATTCATAAAACGTTTCCCTCTAGTTCATTTTAGGTGATTTTTAAAGGTTTTGACCAGATTCCTTTTATTCTAACCTAAAAAAGATTGACCCATTATATACTTAGAAACTATTTAAATTAACATCCACAAAAATGCTTTTCTCAAGTCTAATTTAGGTAATTTTTAAAAAGATTTTAACCGAATTCCTTTTATTCTATTTTAAAAAAATTGACCCCTCATATACTAGAAAATTATTTAATTTAGCATTTATATATTGCTTCCCACTAGTCCATTTTAGGTGATTTTTAAAGATTTTGACTAAATTCCTTTTATTCTATCCTAAAAATGATCGATCCAATGGTACTCAAAAACTATTTAATCTTACATTCAGAGATTATTATCCCCGTCCATTTTAAGTGATTTTTAAAAAGATTCTCTCATTAAAAAATTTATGGAAAAAAAGTTATTAATAAATTTATGGAATTTTAAATTCAACAACCATATTTAGACAACTTTTTATTTTACATTACTATCATACAATTTTGATTTAATAAAGCAATACATTTTTGGACAGTGAATAATAAAAAAGAAATCACATCGACAACAATATAAAGATATTCAGAAGCAAGACTTTTATTTTATAATTGGACACTAGACCATTAAAACTATTACCTTATTTGTTAAAATCAACTAATTGAAGATTGAAAGGTACTATTTGGTCAACCATTGCCAACTAAAAAAGGAAATTTATAGTCAAAGCAATTACCATTCTTGAACCAAAGCAACAAGGATGCCTTACTTGTCTTGTTTTAGTGACCAATATTCAACTTACTTGATGTTTCTTTCAAGAATCAATATGCCATTATGCATTGATCATTAATTTGCTCATGTAAGATAATTTTATCGTGACATAAAAACTAAATACTTTTCCATATAAAGAATATGCAAGGCTCTTCCCCGTAAGATATTAGTGGTGCCGGCAAATGAGTTGAAAATGGGTCAAACAAAACTGAAACATAAACCAACTCGCTCATATTTCATACACTAATGGGTATGGTATGATCACTTTGCTTTACAGGTTGACCATTAGATTTCTGAGAATCCAGCAAGTTAAATCATCACAAAGAGGCAGAGGCTAAGCCAGAACATCTGTGTTGAAACTGCAGCTGAAAGAAGCACACCATTTCCTCATTAATAAGCTTCAAACATACTCCAGTAGCCTTGAAAACATGATGTGCGAGAACCTTAAAAAGAGCACATCAATAATGCACTACTTTGAACAAGTTTGACATATGAACTGAACATCACAACTCACAAGTGCAATAAATAATGTTTCCACTAGATTAAGCTGATTGAATCAAGATTTATTTTCACAAGAGATGGGAACAGTGAAAAACAATCAACATAAGCTTAAAGCAACATACTGAGACATCATTGACTATTAGAACTTATACATCCATGTACTCAGGGCAAAGGACTATACTGTACCTACTTCACATTCGAGTAAACCAGCAAGCAAGGGAAATACCATTATTACTAGTATCAATTTATCAAACACAATCTTATCTAGTATATTCAAACGTTTCCAAGTCATGTTGGATAGACAGTTAAAATGAGAAATCTGGCAAGGAGACACCTCATATATTATGCATGTGTAATATATAAGTAATCTTGAATACGAATCATGATGAACTTATATGAAGGTAATAAAGATTCATAGAGTCGCCCCAACTAGCTTGAAGTGAGGCGTGATAGTGGTTGTTAATTGGAAGTCAGTGAGAATGACATAAAGGAAAATCCATCTGCTTAGCTACACGAAATTCTGTCAATGGCGAAAGATAAATGCACAAGCACAGTAAGATAGAAAAATAAGTGCCGCTGCTGCATCTCGGTAGCAGGGACTGGACTGGAAAAGGAAACATCCATAACTGAATCCATTAAACAATAAAATGATTGCCAAGACCATAATAGATTATCTGCATTTCAACAACAAGGAAATATTGTTTAGATGAGTCAATATCATCTTACCAAAATATTGCGAGTCGAGTCGTCAGAACAAACAGTTGAGATAAGTACCTCAGAAATTGACAATAAAGCTGCCAAGAAAAAACATGAGAACATTCATGATTTGGAAGTTCACTAAGGTGTATTCAGACAGTCAATTGGAAAGTTTTTGGCAACTGATTTTCTTTTCACTTGGTTATTTGGCAACTCTCTTATTTGCTCACTCTTAGATATTTCAATTATCATATAGAAAATATTTAACGCTCCCTTGCCTTAAGATTCGTTGCTTAACAAGCCTTGACCACTAAACTAAAGGCCTAAATTGTGAAGATTCACCAAATCCAGCATTCACCCATCCACTCCAACCCCAAATTCACACCCCCTTTTTTTTTATAGAGAATCTAAGATTTCTCTCATTGGAGTTCTATTGTCCATAGTTGAGAAATTACAGTAATCAAAATTGATGAGCTGTCACAAAAGGGAAAACAGAATAGATCAAAGTTAATGACCCCGTATCATGATTAACTATTTCCATAAATAAATGACCAGCTGTAGTCTACTGATTTCTTATCTGTCTATATATTTTATCCGTCGCCTCAGTCAGACATTTTTAGATTTTGAAAGCAAATCCAACTCTAACGTTAGCAGCAGTACCTTCAACCTGATTTGAACAGGAATCATTCAGAACCAGATTTTATGGGTAAACAAGGGCCATGTTGCCATTGTAGCATCAAGCGTAAGTTCTATTAACCACCTATATCCCGCCTTTTATGTCTATCAATAATCTCTTGCTTTACAGGATAATTGATTCAGTGATATTTAGAATTTATGTGCCTGATGTTAAGCAAATAAACATTGAAGAATCACATGCCTGAAACACTAAATAACCAAATTTCCCTAAATTGCCAATCTGTTAAACATAAAGCGTAGCGTACTTGAATTTTCTCACCTCTCGAGCCAAATGTTAATTGATTTTCAAAACAGCTCCCCTTAGTCTAACAGGAACCGAGGTCATCTTGGATAAATTGTAGATTTGGTCCCCAATTCCTGGCATAGATGCACATTTTAGACCCTGCCGTCTCCCGCTTCATATTTGGCACCAATGACCCTGTTCCACAACAACTGTCTGTCATTGGCATATCTCCATAACCACTTCATTCTAAGAGCTTTGCTTTGAAATTCCAGATTCTTTATCCCAAGCCCCCATTCTTCTTAGCAGTCATCACAGATTTCTATTTTACCAGGTGGTACCCTTTCTTTTCTTTGTTTCCCAGCAACAAAAACTCTCTCTTAATGTTGTCCAACCTTTTTGATAACCCCTGGTGGGATGGGAAATAAACGCATCATATAAGTTGGTAAAGCATCAAGGACTGAATTAATGAGAGTCGGTCTTCCTCTAAGGAGAGGTATTGAGTTTTCCACCTGGCTAGCTTTTTTTCACACTTCTTTATCACTCTATCCCATTTTTCTATAGATTTAGATTTAGCCCCCAGAGGTAGTCCCAAGTAAATTGTTGGCAGACTGCCAAATTCTCCATCATGTATAGCAGCTAGCCAGTTCATGTTGGTGACTTCATTTATAGGATACATTAGGATCTTCCTCTAAAATCTATGTTGCTTGGACTCTCTGAAATTGTTGTCGCACCCATGTCGAATTTTCCAAAATGCACTACTTTTGGAGAATCCGACATGCACATCTTGGCATTTTTGAAAAATTTGAGCAACATAGACTATAATACCTACTCCATTCCTACTCCTCAAACTTCCTGATTACCTTAACTTGAACCCGCCTATATCCCTAGTCTTAGTTCCTACCCATTAGGTGTCCTAAACACAAGGTATATTGATCCTCCTTCTCTTAAGAATAATCACCAACTCTATTGACTTCCTCGCCAATGTCCCTATGTTCCAAGACAGAACTCTCAACCTTTCCCTTGGTACCCTTACAACCCCTGCCTTCACCCCAAATCACTGACATGACTTTTAACAACCATCAAACCTTTTGAAGCCACTAATGCCAGTTATAGAATAATCAAGAGTAAATAATCAAGTGGGGCAACCCGTAACATCAAAACCCTAAATCCAAAAGTGGCAGTCACACAATACAATGAAGAAAATAAAAAGAAGCAATAAACTATAGCAAAGATACCAGTTCAAAGTAGGAACAAAAAAAATGTAGTAATATTCACAAGGGCACAATAATAAATTCACAAACACAATATCAGATTTAATAAAATCAGTTAACAATCAAGAAACGATAAGGGTCTGAACAATCTCTCAAGGAAAAATCAGGTCTAGATAAGACAGGAAAATATATAAAAGGGGTGGTGGATCATACCTAGGAGTTGATGGGGATAAAAATAAACTATGGACTGATTTTCCGAAACCCAGCGAGCTCCGATATACTGCTTTGGTCTGTCGGTCATCAGGATGGGGTCGCTGGATTCTTGCTGACCGGTGTGGCAGTGCAACAAAAAAAAAACAGAGAAAGGGAGAAAGAAAGAAAGAGGGCAGGGGGATTTCGTACCTGGTCGCCGGTGGTGGTGAGAGGTCAGGCCAGCAGCTTGCAGTGCAGGAGAGTAGTGGGTGATCTGCTTTGGGGGGGGGGGGGGGGAGGGAATTATTTTACTGTTGAGCGCTAGAGAAAAAGATAAGTCCCTGTTGAATATTATACAGTTAACCACTGTCAGATTAGATGATAGAGTTCCTCCTTAAAATATCATGCAAATAAATGCAGTCTGCCAAGAGGTTAACTATTTTGCATGGTTCCTTAACCCAACAAGCAAATCCTTTTCAATCTTTCCACCATCAAGCTAGTTCAACTATGTTGTATGGTGCCATAAAATGGTGAGGAAAATGTGTGTATAAAAGCAGTTGACACATCCTAAAAGTCTATATATGTTTCACAGAAAGATATTTCCTCTTGTTTTGCCAAAGATATTCCCCGCTATACGTACTCTAGTTTCGTGACGCTTTTGTTCTCGTAAAGTACATTCTAAACCTTTTAAAGAAAATCTTAATTGTCAATGGTCATTGTGCTTTAGTTTCTGAGATAAGTTACCTGTAAGATTTTATTCATATTTTGTCCCATTTAAATGCTAATTAATTGTGAACTCAAACAGAAACCCCCCTATGGAGACCTGGGCCAACTGCAAAACCAGTGCTCTGCAATGCATGTGGAATAAGATGGCGAACTAGGGGAACACTAGATGACTATCTTCCCAAACATGCAAGCAACGAAAAACAGAGCCATCAGTTACCTTCTGAGATGAAGCCGCATCTCTTAGCTCGTGATGACCAAAAGCTGGAAGTTGGTGAAGAGATTTCTGGACAGGATGGCTCTTCAGCTTGTCTTGAAGAGGAAATGATTCACATATCAACCTTGGGTTCAGAAGGATCATCCCCAGACAAATGCATGCAAATGGAAGAAACAAATGGTAACAAAATTTCACTTATATATACATGATGGACTTAACTCCACCATCTCTTTTGACTCTTGCTGCCTCCTCTCCTAACCCAGCTCTTTAACAACTCTAAAGTATGTTCTGGCATTGTCCAGTTCAGACTACCCAGATCTTTAACAACTCTAAAGTATGTTCTGGCATTGTCCAGTTCAGACTAGAGATGCTGAGAAACAAATTCCAGGTTTGCTTAGTAAATTACAAGGCAAGAATAGGTGGCTGTCAGTTTCTCTTGTCAAATTGCATAAAAAGCACCTAGGGACCAGCTGTCTGCCCTTCTTCTGTAGTACTTCCTGTGTTAAACATGCCCTTTTTATCACTAGCCAAGTGAGACATTTCACTTTTGTAGGAATGTCCCCATTCCAGAAATAGTTCCAGAGATGTTTTGGATCCCCAGCTATCAGCTGGAGACCTCTTCTGTAGACACTGCTAACTGAATAAAGACCACTTTTTTTAATGATTCCACAACATCTTGTCTGTGGAAATTGTATACGTACTCATTCCACCTATCTTCCCTAGTAACTCTGCAACCCTTTCCACCTCCCAATCATTTACAAGTCTTCTGAAGGCTAAATCCCATCCCTGTTCTGGCCCAACAGGCACCTACATTAGCATCAGGATTCACACAAATTTGGAAGAGATTCTTTAGAGGGAACTGTTCTATCCAGAAATCCTTCCAAAATCTTGTTTTACTGTCATTTCCCACTTTGATATAAAAGTCTGCCTTCATTTGAGGCCACAAACTTCTGATTGTTCTCCATACTCCCACACCCCTTAAGGTTCAACTGTGTTCTCTGTACACCATGGGGTTAGCTCACCATACTCGGCTTTAATCACCTCTTTCCAGAAAGCATTTCTCTCCTCAATGTACCTCCACAAACGACTTCTTCAGAAGACTTCCATTTTGCAATCTCAAATTTCAAATTCCCAGCCCCCCCCCCCCCCCCCCCCCTGTCTTTGTTAAGGAGTATAGTCTTCCAGTTTACCACAGGAGAGGAGTTTAGATGCCCCGAAGGGACCTCTAAAGGTTTATCTTGGAGTCCATGTCTGGGAGCGACAAGTATTTGTAAGATAGTATCTAGGTCGTGTCCTGAATCAAATCCTTTCTTAAGTGTAAGGGTTATAAGAAAGTGGAAAACTAATATATTTAACCATACAAATTTTTGTAACAGCTTACCCCCCACTCCCACACACAAAAAAAAAAAGAAAATATCTATTGTATTAGTACCTTATTGTTTTATGTTCACTAATGTTCACCTTCTTTTTGAAGAAGCAGACAAAGATCCTCACCTGAATCCTGACAGTGTCCCAAGAAGAAAGATATCAAAGCTTAGACATAGCATTTTGTCACCTGCTCAAATCCAGAGGACACTTGATAACAATCTCCAGGCACCAGACTTTGAAATAATATCTGACGGAGATGAACCTGTTACTCTAATTTATGCAAGGAACAAATACATTCCTCCTAATGAGATTGGTCTTGGAGCTATGCTGCTAGTATCACCAACTACTACTACAGAACCCTTGACACCTCTATCAGCAATGGCAGTTCCTCCTAATGATATTGGTCATGAACCTACGCTGCTAGTATCACCAACTACTACTATAGAACGCTCGACGCCTCAATCAGCAATGGCAGAAGATACTGCCTCTTGCTCAATGGATGTTTCTAAATAAAATTCATCTATAAGTAAATTTTTAGATACATGCATAACATTCAAGCTGGTATGTGAAGCCAGCTCTTATTGTCTAGCTAGTGCAATGTTGGCTAAAAACAATTTGGGCTGTGTTCCAACTTTACAGATTTCCCCAACAGCAACTCGCAACAGTCTGGGTGTTTTGAGACCATCTAGTTTGTCTTGTTCTGGATATTCATAATTTCTTCTGCTTTATTGGATGGAATTTTTAGACATGTCAATTCTGCTTTTTGGATGCATTTAATATGTCAATTCTGAAGTCTATAACACTTGCTTACCTACAAGTTTGTCTGGACTACACGGTAGACTAAAATTGTAACATCACGAAGGCCATTTGACATACATATGCTTGGCATTACAACTGTAATGTCTTGCATTGTACTTGTTTCAGGAGAAACAACAATGTACTAGATCATGTGGCTATGCAAAATGAAACTACTGGAAATAAGCATGGAAAAGCAAATGCATATGATAATGGACTCGCTCCACATCATATAGATACTATATCAAGGGTATGTCAATAAATTGTTCTAAAAAATGCTGCTGCTATTGAATTTTCTTCTGTATATGGAGATGAACATCTTATTATTGAAGAAATAGGTATATCAGCCTCAGCATAAGATATGCTCAACCACAAAAAGTTTAAAAATAAGTGTACCAAAAAGTCTCTTCGATCTCCTTTTAAGTTATTAGGACAAGTTAATAAGACACTACACCTTCCAATAATAGCTACACTAAAGAGAAGCTAGAGAGCCATTATTAAATAATCCAAGAGCAATTGAGACCGAGAATAATTTAGTACTGAGTTTCATTAATGCCCCCAAGTGGCAACATAGCACTCTTCAAAATAGATTTATACTTTTATATTACTTTGTAGACTTTGAAGTAATAAGAAGTAGACATAGTAAAAGTTAAACGACAACACTCCTTTGGTGACATTCCTGATTCCACAACTTATATTGCTACTCTAGCAACAAATATTGCAGAAACCAAAACAATGAATTAACTATTCACAACCATAAAACTTCATAGAAGGCCATGAAGTACTAAAACAAAAGAAAGGGGCAAAAGAGAGTGAAAGATATTACTCCTTCGGAAAGGAAAATGGGACGTGGGAAAAAATGTGAAATGTTAGAATCTGTCATTCTTTTGATCAGTGGCAGAGCAATGTAAGTAATGATAGCTGAAAAAGGAAACAGATAAGCATATCTTAGGCTCCGGAGCATCATACAACTGAAAAAGGCTACTTATGGGTTGTACTTTCGTATTCTTAGTTTTGTTTGAAACATAGGATGCTTAATATACAATTTTATGCCAAAAAAGAAATTTAAAAATTGTGGAGCGAAGATTTTCTACAATACTCAAGTACAAGAATGAAACTTGATGGAAGGAACACAACATGATAGCTTAGCACAACTTGCAACTGAGGATTTCAAAGTCAAAAAATACACCTTGTTGTCTTTTGGTTTAACTTTCCTTCTTTATCGGCAAGCCTATTTCTGTATTTTTGCTTCAGGGTATATGCTTGTGACGTTACAACTACATCCCGAGTAGACGATATACGATGCTTATGGGTTGTACTTACGTATTCTTAGTTTTGTTTGAAACATAGGATGCTTAATCTACAAAGTTAATTATTTCGCCAAAAAGGAAGTAGAATTGATGGGAGATACAATTTTATGCCAAAACAGAAAAAGAAAAATGGAGTGAAGATTTTCTACTATATACTCAAGTACAAGAATGAATCTTGATGGAAGGAACATAACATGATAGCTTAACACAAAACTTGCAACTAAGGATTCCAAAGTAAAAAAATACGGTTTGTTGCCTTCGGTTTAACTTCCCTTCTTTATCGGCAAGCCTATTTCTGTATTTTTGCTTCAAGGTATGCTTGTGACGTTACATCTACATCCAGAGTAGACGATATAGAAAGGAGCTAATGGACATGTACTTTCACTAATATTGTTGTTCCACACACCATATAAAATCCTTTTACTTGTCAAAATAATCATTATACATCAACAGCAAAACATATGATTTTAAAAAATAACAATCAAGTCATCTTGGTTTCCTAAAATGACACTTATTTCATACCAACTTTGAAAGGCTAAAACAACATTTAAAATGGACTGGAGGTAGTACCATTTATTTTCTTTTTTCTTCATAGTGCTATTTCTTTGATAAGGTAAACTTAACCCCATACCCAAGAGCCCAATAATGACTCTTTTTCTCACATTGCGCCATCAGTGACTCAAACCTCTTGTTATATATAAAGGTGGAGGTTCCTTACCACTAGACCATCCCTCTGTGCCACATTTATATACTACTTATATAAGAGCTTTTAGGAGTTATATGTTACATGCAGTAGTCAAATTCCATACTCCAATGTTGCTCTCTTCCAGTCACACCTCATTTCTAACATTTAAGTACACTTCTATTCCATTGCATTAAAATGTTTTCCGAATGTATGAGCTCACATGCAAGCCTCACTTCTATCATGAAAACACAATTGACAGGATTAACTCAAGGAAGGATACATCTACTTTTGTCGTTGACATGTATGGCTATTTCATCAAAAAGCTAAAGTCGTTAGAGATTGCACAATTTTATTTCCTTATATTAAGTCTTGATCCACTCTTTTTCCTATTCAAAGAGCATCTCCCTAACTCTGTGTTTTCACATCGAGAATTATTTTCAGATGAAGAAATGTCAAAGGGGTTCGATCCCTTCACATGTGAGCTCCTAAGTACATGGAATATTTTTAATTATGGGTGACAGTAAGACTCAGATATTGAATCTTTGTCCGCTCTAATACCATATTAAAGAACTCATCTAAAATTTAAATTGTTATAGCAAGTACTCTTTTATTTATTAAAAGCAACATAATAGCTTGAATTTTTCTAAAAACCTCCAACAAAATATTAGGAGCACAAAAATAAAAGACTGCAGATCTGTTAGAACATGAATAGGTTTATACAATCCTATTAGAATAGGAATAGGTTTATACAATCCTATTAGAATAAGAATAGGTTTATACAATCCTATTTAGAATAGGAATATGAATACAAATACGAATCGTATCCAACTTGGTAAATGATTGTATTCTAGTGTCTATAAATAGAGTCTCAATGTAATAGTGTAGAGACAACAGCAATTCAATAATATTCTTTTTCAACATTTCTCACAATTGAGACAACATTCCTCCATGTGATATCAAATTCACTTTGTCCCATTTCATCGCATCCAGTCATCCTTTATGTGCTACAACTTAATGCAATAAAGTCAAGCTAAAACCAACTTATCATCAAAGAATACATGTTATGGTAAAAACCTTATCATCAAAAGAAATCTACCATTGTCTTTTCATCACTACTCATATCTACAAATTAATTACTTCTTGAAAACCTTATCATCAAAAGAAATCTACCATTGTCTTTTCATCACTACTCATATCTACAAATTAATTACTTCTTGAAGTGACAAAAGATGTTCTCTTTAGCTTAATATATTTTCTAGCCCTTTGATTCCAATAATTTAGCTGTATTGTCTTAAAATGTACATTCATAGTGCAATATTATCCAAGTATGTACAACTAATTGACATGACAAGTTTTAGTATGATTGCAAGTATCACGATGAGTCATGGTAACCATGCTTGTTCAACCTGATAAAAGAAAATAGTAATCAGATAATCCCCACAGCCAAAAATAGTGCTAACATAGAGACTTGAAATTAGTGCTAGAAAGGAATCGTAAAAAGCATTTCAAAGTTAAGAGAATATGAGGACAAATCAAAGCACCGGTACCTGCTACTCTATTTAAGTAACCTTACCATTATGTCAACAAAGACTACAATCATAACGAAAAATCCAACAATTTATCCGTAACTCCTCCATGTTTTTGTTTGTTCCACTTCATTGCTCTTTTCTTTTTTGTCAAGTAACTGAATCTATGTTTCCTTCCTTTGCATCTGTTGCAAATAACACATCTTCTGTCTCTTTTCCTCATAATCTCTTGGGTAACTTATCAATCCATCAAAAAAAAAAATGTAATTAAGAGGTTATATTTATATCCTTCGAGTATAAACATATTGATATTTGAAACTGCACAACTGAGTCCATCTGGAAGATCAGCACCTAAAATCCTAAATGAGCAAAATGAATAGTTTCATTTGTACCAACTGCCAGAAAACTAAATAAAAAATCTTCTAGTTAAGATAACAGCTGCATTATTAATCATCCAGTTTGTGAGGTGTTTCCATTCATTCCAATAAACTGAAACAGAAAATGTGGAAAGCACCCGAAGTAGTAAACAACTAATAGACTCATCACACGGAGGTAGAGACACAATTTGATCTGTTGAAAACACAATTCAACAATCAGTTTATTTATTTCTATGGATACAATACACTTTTTAATTTTAAGAAACTTCTTCTTCCAAACATCTCTTTGGCTTTTATCTAAGAATTGACATGCCACCTTTGTTCTGTTTTTTTGGTATATACAAGAAAATACAAATATACAAGTGTTTCCTCATCGACAATCTTCTTTGCAGTCTAGAACTCAAATTGAGAATTTCAAAAGCAAGTCAGGTAATAGTGTATGTTAAATCTCTTTTGTGATTTGGTACATCCTTGCATATTTCATAACTACTTGAGGTACCTTATTTAATTACTGCTTGACATTAGTTGCTCGAGGTCTCCAGCCAGAAACTATATTTTCGAAGAGCTCGGTGTGGAGCAAAAATAGGATATCCTAGAGGTCAACAACGGCTATCGACAACCTAAGCTACATCTCTGCTTAAATTTGTTTCGGTTAATGAATCTACTTCTAGAAAGCTCTACAAAATTGAAATCAAACAAATATCATATATTTGAAAGACATGTGTTGCTATATCTACCGGCATCAACAGACTTATGCAGACATAGGCACATTTCAATTAAGTAAATTTTTTATAACCGGAGAAATCCCCGAGGTTCCAAA